TGACTGACTGAGTCAGACTGACTGAGTGACTGAGTGACTGAATGACTTAATGACTGATTGACTGACTGGGTGACTAACAGGCTGACTGAGTGACTGACATGTTGACTGAGTGACTGGGTAACTGACTGACTGACTGACTGACTGACTGACTGACTGACTGACGTACTGATAAGCTGAGAGAATGACTAACTAACTGACTGATTGACTGACTTAATGTCTGACTTAATGTCTGAGTCACTGATCATCAGTTACTGTCTGACTGTATGACTGACTAACTGACTAAATGAGTGACCAGACTGACAGACAACCAGAATTAATACAAATGTACCAGAAAATAGAAAAATCTGAGGAGTTAAGACCACAGAAATAGCTTTCGCTTTCTTTAATGGCCACTTACCAATTTCTCACGTATTAGCTCTTTTGCACGGGCCCGTTGACTCTCATTACCACGAATAGTAAAACCGTCGCGGCCACTATCAAACTGTTGACGGATCTTCGCCCCTGACATTTCTTGTATTCCAATTATTGTTCTTCCCTTCGTCCCGATAATGAAGCCAATGTTGTTTTTAGCAACTGGTAGAAATTCATAGGGTTCCTCTTGAGTGCCCCTTCTAAGATTTTCATACGTATTTCTGTGAGAAGAATTATTACGGTAAAATGCTTGTTATCCAAATGTCACTTGCTAACAGCCCCCTAAAACGCAACGAAGTGATAGAAATAGCACAAAGGATAAAAAAAATAAGAAATGATCCTCGAAGTTGAGATGCAATNATGGCAATCTGCGGTCTTTCCTTGCACTTAGGTGGCACGGAAAGCCGTAAAAATCTTGAACAAAAGCTCATCTTTCAAACCGGCAGTCTAAATCCCACAGGGATCAATGAACGCTTTTCATTCCACTAATTTATTCATGTTTTTCTCGTTGCCATGCACCCACCAATAACGTAGCTCCATTTTCTGCCTTTAAAAGCACACACAACCCACAATTCCTCTATTCGCTCCGACGAAGGGCTAACGCTCGAAACGTCAGCTTTTGTAATCATTACGGTGGCCAATTTACCATTTCAACTTTGTTGATATATCCAAATTATTTCGTTACTCCCACCGACGCAGCCCCAAACAGTTTCTTTCGAAACTATCAGCCTTTATTCAAAAATAAAATCATCATTCAAATAAACATTTTGCCTCATGGTCGTCAATCACATTTCCTTAAACCAAGAGTGGGAACTTATTTAGATTGTTTCTCAATTACTGATCTCACCAAGTAAATTTCTGCCAGTGTTTGCTCTCAAAATAAAGTTGTCGCAAAATTCGTTCGATTCGTTCCTTCGAACGACAAATCAAATGAATCGAAACTAAGAGTAATCTGAAATCAAAGTAAGAATAACAGGCATCTCACAGTGGCTATCTCACAAGATCGTTTTGTAAAATGAGGTGTTTTTCGTTCGATGCAGCCAGTAAGGTTGACGAAACTGTGAAAGAAAATTCTTATGACAAGGAACTAGTTGCTGAAATAAATATTCCTTTCTATTTAAACCGTCAATTCAAAATATCAATTCATTTAGTTTACCTTGTTTTGCCACCATTTTTCGATTTCTTTCGATCATAACTCTTTTCGTCCATAGTGCCACTAATTTGCAAATACAAACTCGGCTAATACAACCCAACAAACTAGAAACCTCACAATATTCATTCTTAAACCGGAAGTACTTCCTGTTTTGCTTCATTACCTTTACCCCAGGCCTCCCGCGCTGAACACTCAAACATTATGCGCGGCTGCGGCAGATGATTTCAAAAAGGAAAAAGAATTGAAGCTTTCTTCTACGATAAATGTAAAGAGCTTTCTCTTCTCTTGAATATACAATGCAACTAAGAACTACCAATAACTGCTTTCCAACGTATCATCGTGCAGTTGAATAGAGTTTCTATCGGGAACGTAGCGTGGCTATCATTTTGACCCTGGGACGTCATACGGCGATGAAACCCAGAAAAGATGTGTATTTAGGAGTGGTTGTACAATTAGAAAACATCACGAACAAAGCCATTAGTTATACCTCTCTTCTTTTATTGCAGATATTATGTCTAAAGAATGTTTTACATAATTATAAATACAGCTTAGCCTGTTTCGATAATGTACTCAAATAAACGATCAACCTTGCACTAAGGACATTTCCATTTTGAAATAAGCGTCCCACAAACTAAATGATCTTGTTGATAAATGACACTCAACTGAAAGGTAAATAAATCAATTGTAGTTTATGCTACATGACTAAATCAATGCCAAACAAATGAATATCTTACCTGAATCTACATCCCTGAAAGGGGATACTTCACTTGAATGATTGCTAACAATTCTTCGGATAGTTTCACATAAAACAGCAATAAACAGTTTGCCTCGTGATACAGAAATCTAAATGAAATGTAAATTCACTTAAGATCAATTTGCAAACGGCGTTGCTCGTACAACAGGAACGATAACCAAAGTGGTTTCAGTTCTCAAGATCGGTAATGAGCGTAGTCGAGTTTCTCTTAGTAGCAACTGCTCTTTCCCAAAGAGCAGAGCGTTTCTTGCTATCAATTCATTTGTTTGTATTTACAAATGCAAAGAAAATGGGCTTTCTGCGGTCCATCAGGCACTCAGAATATTCACAATCCACAAAGTTGTTTCGTTGCTTTCTTGCACTGAACACGTGATGCGAAGCATGATAATGACTTCTTTCTTCTTGGGCCGTAGAATTGAACAGCACTCACACTTAGTTACTCTATCACATTTCAACACTTGATCTCTAAAAGTATTGTAAATTTAATCTTGCTCTTCAACCGCTGTTGGCTAAAATTCGTCTCCATGGGCCTCTTTATTTGGGGCCACGTGTGACTGAACTTGTCTCAGAAACTTTAGGAACGTCGGTAGCTTAGCAACGATCTGCTCTGGCTCCCAGTCTCCTTCTTCTAAAGCTTTATCCCATTCTTCACAATGCACATGAATGTCTGTCTTTTTTCATACGAAATTGAAACAAAATTAAGCATTAGAACAAAGCTAGCAGAGTCGCACAATCAAATTCATTATACGTAAGCGTGCTCAAAATCCCGATAGTGCACGCTGATAGCGTCAGCAAATCCGACTTCGCCAGAAATTTTTTTTTTTCTCGCGCGAGCGGCCATTGTTAGCGCGGGGAAAAATAATATATTTCGCGACAATAATGGATACAAACAGAAACTCGGCCT